GGACCGCTTGATTAAATGTTTTGCTATAAATCACTCAAATGGCATTGAATTCTTCCATATGTTTGAGTGATTTATAGCAAAACATTTAATCAAGCGGTGATCAAATAAGAGTGTAAATCAACAAGTTATTTTCAATAAATAGTCAAAATAATCACTATATGGTAAGCAGATGACTAAGAGCATCTGCAATGGTTTTTATTTTTTTTTTATTTTTTTTTATTTTTTATCAAACGATAGTTATATTGCATTTATCATAAGAGTGAGTTTACATCATTTGCTAATGTTGGATGAAGCCAAATTGGTGGCCACCCATTTCAAACATAAGTGCCATCAAGTTTTGCTGCAAACCCAGCAACTTGATGAGCGGCCATATTACAACAGCGCGGTGCATGGGAAAAAGAGACTGCAGAAGTCCTTCATAAGCCCAGCAATATCATGAAAGATACCCTCAAGCACCAAGTCTGGAATTGTTTGAGTGCAAAGAGCTTCAATCATGATTTTAGAATCCGACTCAACACAAAGAGCATCTGCAATATGGTTAGGATCAATGCAATTTTATTGCATGAAATTGAACTAAAACAATAAAATCTCACTTGCAATGGTGTGATCGATTTAGTTCATTGTAATAGAGGGTGCTAATCATGAGACCCATATACCAATTAAAAAATGAAAAAAAAAAACAGCAATTAATGCATTATGTTGTTAAGAGCATCCGCAATGGTTGTTCAATAGTTCAATGCAATATAAAAAATACATCAATTAAATTTTTTTTCAAATATATTAAAAATTGGTCCCTTTTTAAAGATCTCTTTGAGAATATTGCAATGTTACAATTTTTAGTGTTATTAAATTAATCCCTTTTATTTTATTTGAGTATGTAGAAAAACGTGTAAGTAGATATAACTATTGATCTAAAGCTATTGAACTATACCATTACAAGTAAAACTGCAGCTCAATTCAATGGATGCCAAAAAAGTTCAATTTATTGAACTACTAAATAACCATTGCGGATGCGTCAAATGATTTTATTTCTTAAAAATCAATTGAGTTCAATTTTTAATAATATACTGATAAATAAAGGATGTTGTTAAACGAACCCTAAAATTAATTGAGTACACCCTATGATCTAAGTACACCCTAATATTTAAATCAAAATATAAAATTAACTAAATACACTCTATTTAACTACCAAATATACCATTGATACACCCTAATACACTCTAAAAAACACATCTCATAAACCCTAGTTTTTAAAAGATATACGCCAACCAGACAGTCTACACTTAAGCAAAAACCCAATATTAAAATGCAAAAGTAATGCTCATATTTAGCCCAAACTAGCTTCACCTAATGCCTTGGAACCGATTGTAAATACGTTGAATTTTATTGAAGGATAAACCCAATTCCCAATAGAAAATGCATTTCACAGGAGACAACCCAAACCCTAAATAAAGGTGAATATTCCATAGCAACAATAAAAGAAGATGTTCTTCTTCCTTCTCAAATTTGCAGAGGAGACAACCCAAACCCTAAATCAAAAGATTACTAAATAACCATCAATTATTACAAAAGATAACTCATTTTTCAAATAAAAAGTTCAAAACAAAAAGAATTGGTTCCCATAAATATATTACAAAGTCCCACGCTCAATAATACAAAAGGAAGAAAAGAAACGAGACACTCAATAATGTAACTATTCTATCAGGCTTGGTACACCATATTCAATCAGACTAAATAATGCAAGCATTCAGTGAGGGATAGTACACATTCATCATGTGTCAATACAAAGCGCATCTGTATTGTCCATTCATCTAACAAATAGCAACAAAAATGTCAAAACAAATACGAGACATAGAGAGCCAACAGGGTCTAGCCTAGTGAAAAAGGGCCTTAATTTGCAGTCTAGTGGTTTTAGGTTTGAATCCTCATGGCACATTAGTAGTGTGTGCTTGAGAAATCCATCTCCTCCTTATAATTTTTAGATTCCCAAAAAAATAAAACAAGACAAGGAAAAGGGAGGGGAAAGAGTTTTATTATATGAGTAGTTTGCTTTGTTTGGGTTACCCCACCCCCTCCTCCCCCCAAAAAAAAAATCACAAAAAAAAAGGGGATCCAAATTTTGACCTAATCTAATCCTAAACCAAACTTGATTCAAACAAATTTACTTAATGAGAAATGGATGTATGTGGTCTCTTTTCTTTTTTTTCCCTTTATCATCATTACTTAAGAGAACATTTTACATTCGAATCAATGAGCGTCTAACACACAACCCAATCAAATGAGAGAGAAAGGTCAAGAAGTTAGATACCAAGGGAAAAGAGGCCTTAAAGGGCTTGATATTAACATGCCAGATGCTACTCAACACTAACTCAACCCGTTTAGTTAATCATTTCCTCAGAGCCCTAAAAAAATATTTTATAGGTTTATACAAGGATCCATAGAATACATATAGTAAGATAAGAATTATTCATTGTCCTCCTATAAAAATAGTTAAACAGATTTATTGTGTTAAAAAAAAAATATATTACAAACTATTGAAGACCTGATAAAATTGTTAAAGCTAAAAGAAACTATTTAGTGTCATTAAACTATATATGCATCAAGCATGGGTTAGCATACAAAATTAGCAAGTTTTTACAACAAATGTAACACAGTGCGAGGGTTACCTTATTTTCGTCTGAATAATGTTTTGATGAAGCATCTCCACCCATCAATTCCTGGAATCCTTCGACGTTCACTGGTGGAGCCCTAAGAACACCCAATAGTGTGAAGTTAGCAGAGTTCAAATAGAAAACGTCTTATTTTAGTCTTTAGCTATTGCATAATCAATGGATGAAGAAGACTAAAGCGAGCAGTTGTCTGTTCACTTGGTTGCTAGTTGAGTTTGAGAGAGGCCTTGAATTGAGTGTGTGAATTTGGTTATTTAAGCAAGAAGAGACATAATCCAGCTTCACTAATGTTGCCGTCGTCGAGATAAAGACAACACCACCCACCTAGAACACTGAGGGGAATGGGAGGAGAAGAGGGGATAAGAGGAAGGGAAAAGATGGAAGAAAAAGAAGGGGAGATGAGGAGAGGAAGAGGAATATGGGTGGAGGGAAGAAGAGGTAGTGGCCACCTCCTCCCTTAGCTTCCTTGTGATTGGTTGTCGGTAAGGAGAAAGGGGACCAAAGTGCGGCTAGGGTTTTTTAGAGAATTGAAAAGGTAACAGAATGTGCATTTAATGTGCCTTGTGGCAAGTTGATATAGGCACATAGCATTTGGTAGTCTAGACCTTCTTGGAAGCACTTCGTCCATGAGCTTTAAGATACTCCAAAAAATTATGCACGTACGTGTCTTGCTTCTTTCTATCTCCAAACAACGGCTTCAACTCCTTAGCCTTGTCTCTATAAATCTTCCCCTCATCCATCTCTATCACCAGCTTTAGCGACTCAGCCACCCAATCGCTGGTAAACGACCCATCTTTCTCATCCCTCGGAATCGAATACCCAATCTTCCTCTCCTCCAAAAGCCTGGCTTACCGAGCGTTTTTTATCTTGCAAATCGATTGCTCTACCGAAGCCCAAAAGGTGCCGAAGGTCACAACATCACTAAGTTGGGCCCAAAAGTGCTGAACCATTTTTAAGCATCAACAACTGAAAAACTAATCCAATTATGTTCGCTTTTTTAGAAATTAGATTGATTAGGAAGGACTAGTTGATCTTACATCCATTCATATTCTCTCATATTTCTAAATTTCTCGATATATGATTTAAAATACACATGCCATAAAGTATATCTACTAAGTAGTAGATAGACAATTGGTACATATTTCCATACAAATTTATCCATTCAATAATTCTATTTGTCTCTTCAAAACCCTCGGGCAACTTAACTAGATTAGTTCTCAGCACCCAAATAAATGGCAGCTCAGACTGCTCTAACCCCCAGGCTATTGTAGTAATTTCCTCTTGGCTCGGCATGGCCTCGCTTCCAAAAGCCACGTACACGACCGAACCTTTCAGTTGCATGTCCAACCACTTGCTTATTGACCCCCATTGATCATTCTCGTCATTATTCGTAGTTGGGAGTTGACCAACCGGCAAAACCGTTTTCCGATGGATATCTTGTAATAAACACAGCCATTCAGGTTCAAACTCTATGCAACTTCTTATTGCAATTACATCACAGCTCTTCATCCCCTCCAAAACCCCCTATGACCAAGCATAGTTCTTTGGTCGGCGCAGAGTAGAGAAGAGCACCACATCCCAACAACTACCACTAGCATCATTGCTGCCACTGCAGTTGAAACAGAGACAAAACATCATCCACCAGGTATCACAACTCTCCCGAGGAGAGACACAATCTATCGTCACCACATAAACAAAAATAAAAAGGACCCCTGAGAAGCACTCCACTTCAACTCAGAACCAGACAAAGAAAACCTTCTATGACCAAGCATAGTTCTTTGGTCGGCACAGAGTAGAGAAAAGCACTACATCCCAATGACTACCACCAACGTTGCTGCTACCGCCACCGTTGAAACAGAGATAAAATATTAGCCACTAGGTATCAAAACTCTACCAAGAAGAGACATAATCCAGCTTCACTAATGTTGCCGTCGTCGAGACAAAGACAACGCCACCCACCTAGAACGCTGCAAAAACAATCAAACAAAACAAACAGACAAACAGACCTAGATCCAAAGATATCGAGACTATCTGGGGAGGGGAATGGGAGGAGAAGAGGGGATAAGAGGAAGGGAAAAGATGGAAGAAAAAGAAGGGGAGATGAGGAGAGGAAGAGGAATATGGGTGGAGGGAAGAAGAGGTAGTGGCCACCTCCTCCCTCAGCTTCCTTGTGATTGGTTGTTGGTAAGGAGAAAGGGGACCAGAGTGCGGCTAGGGTTTTTTAGAGAATTGAAAAGGTAACAAAATGTGCATTTAATGTGCCTTGTGGCAAGTTGATATAGGCACATAGCATTTGGTAGTCTAGACCTTCTTGGAAGCACTTCGTCCATGAGCTTTAAGATACTCCAAAAAATTGTGCACGTACGTGTCTTGCTTCTTTCTATCTCCAAACAACGGCTTCAACTCCTTAGCCTTGTCTCTATAAATCTTCCCCTCCTCCATCTCTACTTCAACTCCTTAGCCTTGTCTCTATAAATCTTCCCCTCATCCATCTCTATCACCAGCTTTAGCGACTCAGCCACCCAATCGCTGGTAAACGACCCATCTTTCTCATCCCTCGGAATCGAATACCCAATCTTCCTCTCCTCCAAAAGCCTTGCATTCAACCCTTGGTCATTGGACATGGTCAACAACACAAGAGGTCTCCCAAAAGTCAACGCCTCCACCACCGAGCTCCAGCCTGAGTGACTCAGAAACACCCCAACCGAGTCATGACCTAAAATCTTCAACTGTGGAGCCCAACTTCTGCAAACCACTCCCCGCCCTCCTATTCTCTCTTCAAAACCCTCGGGCAACTTAACTAGATTAGTTCTCAGCACCCAAATAAATGGCAGCTCAGACTGCTCTAACCCCCAGGCTATTGTAGTAATTTCCTCTTGGCTCGGCATGGCCTCGCTTCCAAAAGCCACGTACACGACCGAACCTTTCAGTTGCATGTCCAACCACTTGCTTATTGACCCCCATTGATCATTCTCGTCATTATTCGTAGTTGGGAGTTGACCAACTGGCAAAACCGTTTTCCGATGGATATCTTGTAATAAACACAGCCATTCAGGTTCAAACTCTATGCAACTTCTTATTGCAATTACATCACAGCTCTTCATCCCCTCCATGAACCGATAAACATCTGAAACATTGGTTTCATCGCCAACCATGCTTTGGTCATAAATGCGGCGAACCTCGAACAAATGAAACGCAACGTTGGACGGGAAGGGGATCCACTTAGGCGAGACCGTGTAATCCTCGGGATTTTTACGATCATCCGGATATTTTTCTAGGGAAGTGGGTCCAGCAAAAGCTAAGCATGCTCCGATGAATATACTAAAGAAGGCACATGGTATGCCAAGGTTATGGGCAATAGTTGGGGCCCAGTAAGGTACAAAGTCGAAGAGTAACCAATCTGGGTTGGAAGATTGTAGAAAATGAGTAAGGGGCTGCTGGAGAGCATCGTAGGCTTTCTTAAGCTTCATGACTTTGTTTTGTGGTATGTCTATGGTGGCCTCCGCGGCTTCGGGGAGGTCGTCTTCTACGCGAGGAAACGGGAGCTTGACGAAGGTGATTAGAGATGAGAGATTTGGAGGGAGCTGTGGGAGACGTTTGATGTTTCTTGGAGTGGATATGAAGGAGATTTGGTGGCCTTTTTGGGCAATGAGCTTGGCGAGCTCTAGGTATGGGATCATATGGCCAAAGGCTAGCCATGGAAACATTGCTATGTGAAGCTTTTGATGATTGGAATCCATGGTGACCAATAATGTTATCTAGGGCCTTGTTCTTATTGTGAGTAGAGTCAGATCCCTAGCTCGACTTATATAATATATTAGAAAATCTTGCTTTTTCCCTTCAAATTAATTTTCTCTTACATCCCACCCACCACCTTATTTATCTATAAATAAAACCCAATTTTTATAGTTAAAAATCCATGACTAGGATCCAACTTAGCAAGTTACCTAATCAAGCTTAAAATTTGATTTATTTTACTTTTTAAATTCCAAAAATACCTAAAGATGTTAAGAACCATGATGTTATTTTCTTTAATTAAAACAATGTTAGCTATTTAAGAAAATTTTCTACTTACCTTTTATGATTAAACATACTAATGAATTTGACAATATAATGTAGCTGATTATTTTATTTTTTATGAACAAAAAATTGAGGTCCATGGCTATATGTCCGTCCGTGCGAAATAGACAAATGAACTTGAGGTTTGGCTTTAGGGTAAATTTCGAGAGAGAAAGAAGGGCTATTAATTATACTTGTATAGGCTTGGACAACAATTCTTGTCCATATTAATCAAATAAAGGCCTTCCCTTTTGCAAACTTGAATAATACATTATTATTCAAAACTAACATAAACCCCAATATACGTATCAATCAAATAAAGCCTTTCCCTTTTTCATACTTGAATAATTATTATTATAAACTATAGAAAATTTGGCATAAGTCCAATTATGAGGAGAGATTTTGGGTGCAATCCACGCAGAAATTGTTGTTGATCCAAGTCCTTTGACTTTTGCGCCACATAAGATTACATGCCTATTTCAATTTATTGATATTTACTTTTTTTTATTTTTTATTTTTTGTTCCAGTTATGCACCTAAAACATAAATAAGGTAAATTATGAATTCCTAAAACTGGTAAGTTATTGATTTGTAGGATATTAATTATCATATTTGATTTGAATTTAATTGCAAATCTATTTATTGAATTCTGAAATTTTCCCAAGGTATACCGACATCAAAATTTGTAATAAGAGTTCATAAAAACTTCATACCTTAACAATAGGTAAGGTACCTATGCATACATCTCGTATGCAGTATGCATGTAATTAAATCCATAAATTACCTCTGGTCCAGGTAATTAAATCCATAAATTACCTCTAGTCTATATAGTTATACCCTCTAGCCCAGCTAATTGAACTCATAAAATATCTTGGTATGGATCTTCAAACTCAACTGAGATAAAAATCCATGGAAGACATGTACGTATGTATATAAGTATGAACCTCTAGAAAAAAACTGCTTAAAGAAAACTCAAGAAAAAAACTCTTACCTGTAAGGCAGGTATATATATACCTATAAGGCAAGTACATATATACCTGTATGTATTAACATTATTTACCTGTATGTCAGGTACATAATTTAATGTGGGTGCTTGTTTGATCAATTGGTATAATATGTGAGTCTTTACTTTTTATTGATTAAATTGTATTTAATCTATATATTAGGAATATTATCAAGGAAAAAAAATTCAAAATTCAAAATTTGGAATTCAATTTCAAGGAAATAATGCATTAAATTTAGAGATTGGAATCCATGGTGACCAATAATGTTATCTAGGGCTTTGTTCTTATTGTGAGTAGAGTCAGATCCCTAGCTCGACTTATATAATATATTAGAAAATCTTGCTTTTCCCCTTCAAATTAATTTTCTCTTACATCCCACCCACCACCTTATTTATCTATAAATAAAACCCAATTTTTATAGTTAAAAATCCATGACTAGGATCCAACTTAGCAAGTTACCTAATCAAGCTTAAAATTTGATTTATTTTACTTTTTAAATTCCAAAAATACCTAAAGATGTTAAGAACCATGATGTTATTTTCTTTAATTAAAACAATGTTAGCTATTTAAGAAAATTTTCTACTTACCTTTTATGATTAAACATACTAATGAATTTGACAATATAATGTAGCTGATTATTTAATTTTTAATGAACAAAAAATTACTTATTATCTTATAAATAAAAAGAATGTATATATTTTTTTTTATGGAAAATAATATACCAATTTTTTAATGTAGGCTAGGATCTTTTTGTAAATAACATATCTACTACAAACTAACATACCTATTATGAATGGTACATTGTATATTAGGTACCTATTATGAATGGTACATTGTATATTAGGTACCTATTTTTTAATATAAAATAATGTACCTATTTTCGAAAATATTAATATACTTATTTTTAAAATAAATAATGTAAAAAATAGTGTATATATTTTTGGTAAATAGCGTTTTTGTTGTTGTTGTATTATCATGGGAACATAAATATAATCCCTAAAATTGAGGAAACAAAATTTAGTCAACTTTATTAACTTTATTTTTTTGGTAGGGATAATCTGTTATAAAATAATTAGAAAATTTGGCATAAGTCCAATTATGAGGAGAGACTTTGGGTGCAATCCACGCAGAAATTGTTGTTGATCCAAGTCCTTTGACTTTTGCGCCACATAAGATTACATGCCTATTTCAATTTATTGATATTTACTTTTTTTTATTTTTTATTTTTGTATATATTTTTGGTAAATAGCGTTTTTGTTGTTGTTGTATTATCATGGGAACATAAATATAATCCCTAAAATTGAGGAAACAAAATTTAGTCAACTTTATTAACTTTATTTTTTTGGTAGGGATAATCTGTTATAAAATACTTTAGGGATGTTGTTTTTGTCGAAATTTTAGGGATTAAAAACCTGATATGAGGGGGAATGCCCAACCAAAAAAAAAAAGGATCCTTGTACTGATGCGTACATTGCCGCTTTCAAGGCACTCTCAGCTCAGTTGGATACTTTTTTATCCCGTGAGGAATCATACTGGCAGCAGCGAGCTAAAATTTCTTGCCTCAAAGATGGCAACAGGAATAGTCGATTCTTTAACCAAAGAGCCAACACCCGAAAACAACGCAACAAAATCACAGGGTTGATGGACAACAATGGCATTTGGCATGATGAGGAGAGTGTTATTCAGACTATTGTGGTGGATTATTTTTCACAACTCTTTCAGTCTAGTTCTAGTGGTCGGGGACCAGCAAGTCTTGATATGGTGGAACCTTATGTCACAAGTTCAATGAATGATTCGCTCACTCCGAAGTTTACTAAGCTAGAAGTAAAACAAGCCATCTTCCAAATGTACCCAACCAAAGCACCTAGCCCTGATGGTATGCCACCTCTCTTCTTTCAAAAATACTGGCACATAGTTGGTAATGATGTATCAAGGGCAATCATTGATTTCCTCTCTACAAGTCACCTCCTAAGGAAGATCAACTTCACACATATGGTGCTAATTCCGAAAGTGCCACACCCGAAAGATATGACCCAACTACGACCAATTAGTTTATGCAATGTTCTGTTCAAAATTGCTTCCAAGGTTCTCGCGAATCGCCTTAAAGTGCTCCTCCCCTCCATCATCTCTCTTAGCCAGAGTGCTTTTATATCGAGGCGTCTTATTTCTAATAATTCTCTACTGGCTACGGAACTCGTTCATTGCTTGTAGAGTCGTCGAAGAGGGTCCAAGGACTTTCTCGCCTTGAAATTGGATATGAGTAAGGCTTATGATATAATTGAGTGGAATTTCTTGGAACAAATGATGTTGAAGTTGGGGTTTGCTGCGCCATGGGTTAGCCTGATTATGGAGTGTGTCACCACGGTAGCCTACTCTGTTTTGGTTAACGGCTCAGGCTGTGGCTATCTCAATCCCTCTCGGGGTCTTAGACAGGGTGATCCACTCTCGCCCTACTTATTCCTCCTTTATACACAGGGTTTCTCAACTCATCTGGCCCACACTCTCGCCCTAATTATTCCTCCTTTATACACAGGGTTTCTCAACTTATCTGGCCCATGCGGAAAGGACTAGGCGACTTCAGGGAGTTTCAATTTGTCGTGGAGCTCCTTATGTTTCCCACCTGTTATTTACTGCTAACTTTTTTCTGTTTGCCGGTGCAATGCATGATAATTGTCGTACTATCACTGATGCCCTAGTTTGGTATGAAGCGATGTCCAAACATAAAGTTAATTTCCAAAAGAGTGCAATTTGTTTTAGCAAAAATTTCAAGCAGCCTGCGCGTCTGAATATGGCAACGTCCCTTGGGGTGTGTAGATCAGCATGACAAATATCTAGGTCTTCCCATGGCTATGGGTCGACATAAAAGTGCTTGCTTTGCCTATCTGAAGGAAAGACTAGGGAAAAAATTACATAGTTGGAAAGGAAAACTGCTAAGCGGGGCTGGTAAGGAAATTCTCATCAAGACCGTGGCACAAGCTCTCCCACTCTATACCATGAGTTGTTACTTATTGCCGAAATCTCTCTATGATGACCTTTGCTGAGTTTTGGAGGGGCAATAATGGTGAGGAAAGAAAAATCCATTGGCTTACGTGGGATAAACTCTGTGCTTCTACAGATGAGGGGGGACTAGGTTTTCGAGACCTCTATGCCTTCAACCTTGCTATGCTCGCTAAACAAGGATGGAGGTTACTTTAATATCCATATTCTCTCACCTCGAAGATACTGAAAGCTAAGTATTTTCCAACTCAATCTTTCATTGATGTACCAATTAGTGCCACTGGCTCTTATGCCTGGAGGAGCATTTGTGCTGCTAGAAAAATTCTTTTACAAGGCTCCATGTGGCAGGTTGGCAAGCATCGATATCTGGAAGGACCCGTGGGTGTCGTGGCCTACCACATTCCCTGTCATCTAGCCTAAACCCAGCGGCTATACTTTGTCAAAGGTCCATGAGCTTATTCATGGGGAAACACGAGCATGGAATTTAAATCTACTTATTGAGGTCTTCCTTCCTCCTGATGTGGAATTAATTCGATCTATCCCTCTAAGCATTCAAAGAACCGATGACAACTTTATCTAGCACTTCGACAAGAAGGGATCTTTTTCTGTTAAAAGTGACTACAAGGTAGCCTTTGTTGACCATGGTACACGAGCAGTTGCTTCCACTTTGACCAGCAACAGCTTCAGTGCTGGGTGGACTGCTCTATGGAAGGTGAAGGTTCAAGGGAAAATGAAATTGTTTTGGTGGAGAGTGTGTAGAGATATTCTACCCACTAAAGCTGCTCTCTCCAAAAGACAGGTGCCAATGGAGACTTTTTGCGTCTTTTGCGGACATGAAATGGAATCTACTATCCATCTTCTGCGGGACTGTCCTTTCACTCGTGGGGTTTGGACCAGCTCCTCTTTGGGCGGTTTTGGAGAGCACCCTCGGGTGCAAGGCATACACGACTGGTTCTTACACTGTGCAGAGCACCTCCCTCATCCTATCTTCGATCTATTCCTATTTACTGGCTGGGCAATTTAGGAGGCAAGGAATGACAAGGTGTGGAACAACAGGAACCTATCCCCAAACAGAGTTAGCCATGGCGCTGCTGTTTGATTGTTTAACTTTGCGCAAGTCCACGCCACACAGGGTGGCCATGCTCGCCCATCCGTGGTAGCACAGAAATGGACTAAACCACAGTCGGGTTGTGTGAAGATCAATGTTGACGGCTCATGGGCAACAGGTAGCACTGAGGGAGGTGTGGGCATCGTGGTATGTGACTCTGAAGGTGACTTTGTTACATGAAAGGCATTACATGTAGACAACATTTCTTCTGCAGCACAAGTCAAGGCGATAGCCGCCCGTGAGGGTGCAGTGTTGGCGGTGGAAAGGGTTTCACTAATCATGTTGTTGAGAGCGATTCTCTCCAGATCGTCACTACTTTGAGGACTACTACTACAGATCGGTCTGTTATAGGCCCTATAGTGGAAGACACCAAGAGTATGATGTCTCAGATTACTGGAGAAGTTTTATCCATATCCGTCGTACTGCAAACACGGTGGCTGATCGGCTGGCACGCTTTGGTCAGAATATTGGCACAATTATCACTTGGTTCGAGGAACCACGAGATTTTATCATTGATCTTTTATTTAAGGACTGTAACTAGGAGTTTTTCAAACCATGATCAGAGGGGGATGAGGGGGCACTCTACCGAAGGTAAGGCTCCTGCTCCCGCTTGTGGTTGAGCGGGTACGGCTACTTCGTTAGCCTGACGTCCGAACTCAATGGAGTAGAGGCACTCGCCTAATCCCTGACGAGATAGCCCGGGTTTTGTACTTGTTACTTTCCATAATCAATAAATACTATCGCCCTTTCTCAAAACAAAAACAAAAACAAAATCAACAAAAAGGAAGGGGGGGGTTGCATTATTTATTTTTAAAATAGGTATACTGTTTTTTTGAAAATAGGTACATTATTTTATATATAAAAAAATATATAGGTACCTAATACAATGTACCATTCATAATAGGTATGTTAGTTTGTAATAGATATGTTATTTACAAAAAGATCCTAGGTACATTAAAAAATGAGTGCTGCTATTTCTACTCACCTGTCCTATTTCTCCACGCACCTTATTTTTAAAATTTTAAAGGCTAATTTACCCATTCATAAAATGACTTCTAAAGACTCTCTAATTTTTTGACAATGTTCACTTTTAATAACTTAAAAAAAACTAAAATTAATTCTTAAAAACAAAACCAAAAACCCAAGAGCCACCAAAGCTCGTCCACCCCCACCCAACTTGTTAGCCATCCCACCCGCCAACGGCGACCCCCTCCCCCCGTGCCGCCGACAAATCCTCATTTCCTCTTATCTCTCTCTATCTCTCTGTCTCTGTCTCTTTAGGCTGGGGTCGTTGATTTTCATTTTTGTAGTAATAACATGTTGGCTTTTTGAAGGGTAAGGAGGAGTTTGGTGTTGGTGTTGGAGATGGGCGAGGATGATAGATCTGGGGTTAAAGTTATTTTAATAATGATCTAACATTGCAAACAACTCATCAATAGGAGTATCGATCGATGACTGTCGTTTTTTTGTTTCAGCAACTAAATAATTCTTCAGTTTGTTTTGTTTCTAGAGATGCCAATATAGTGGGCATATGGTCTTGCATATTTCGCTATTTCATCAATTAACATGTTCTCTTGGGATAGGGACCCTCCTGCTTTCATCGAGAACTTGTTGGTTAGGTGGTGAGTTGGATGCAAGAGAAAATTAATTTGAAGGGGTAAAGCCAGATTTACCATTAAAAAAAATAATGGTATTTGGACGTGATTTGTTTTCGTTGTGAAGAAAGCCAGCTTCTGTAAGGTTGAGTTAAATAGACAGCGATATGGGCTTTCGGTGGTGGGGAGTGTGTGCTTTAACATCTGTAGTAATTTGGCTATATTTTTTTGTTAATAAATAATAATAAAAAGACAGTATGAATGTAGTTTCTAAAATGGAAAGATTAATTAGGGACCGCCATGTACGACTTTGATTCTATTAATCAATTCTCTTTCTCAAAAAAAAAAAAAATTACTTAATTGAGTGATTTATCGCTTTTTTTGTTTTGTTTGAATTCTTCCATATGTTTTGAGTTATTTATAGCAAAACATTTAATCAAGCGGTAATCGAATAAATAAATCAACAAGTTATTTTTAATAAACAGTCGAAATAATCACTATATGCTAAGCAGATGACTAAATGATTTTTTTCTTAAAAATCAACTTACCTGATTTCAATTTTTAGTAATATACTGATAAATAAAAGGTATTGTTAAACGAATTCTAAAATTAATTGAGTACACCCTATGATCTAAGTACACCGTAATATTTAAATCAAAATGTAAAATTAACTAAGTACACCTTATTTGACTACCAAAAATATTCATAGTAGTAGTACACCCTAATACACTCTAGAAAACACATCTCATAAAACCTAGGACAGTAATCCCAAACTGGGCGCTAGTTGTTAAAAGATATACACCCTTAACCAGACAGTCTACACTTAAGCAAAACCCCAATATTAAAACGCAAAAGTAATACTCATATTTCGCCCAAACTAGCTTCACCTAATGCCTTGGAACCGAATGTAAATACGCTGAATTGTATTGAATCATAATCCCAATAGAAAATGCATTTCACATAGGGATGGTAATGGGTCGAATTGGGGGTGGGTACGGCATTCCCATCCCCATCCCCGTTAAGCTTTTTTCCCTTATCCCCGTCTTCATACCCGCAATATTCATATCGGGGATTTCCCATCACCACCTTCGTTGGGGAATGGGTTCCCCGACCCTCCCCATTACGAAAGAAAAAACCAATATATAACTACTTTGTTGAAGAAAAAAAAAACTAATTCAAGAAGTAGTTTGGCTTAAGATTTGTATAAATTATATAAGTATATAATATAATAATATAAAATATAAAACTTAGTCGGTACAATCACTTTAATAGCATATTTATATATAGCAATATATATATATATATAATAATATAAAATATAAAACTTAGTCGGTACAATCACTTTAATAGCATATTTATATATAGCAATATATATATACGTCATCAAAAAATTAATATATATTCTAAACGGGGAGGGTTCGGGTTGGGGATTAAAATACCATCCCCGCCCCTCCCCAAACACCATACCCAAAAATTTCCCCGTACCCATCCCCATACCAGATTTTTGTCCTTCATACCCGACCCATTTGAGTTGAATACCCGCAAAAATTCTTACCCGCGGGGAAAATTGTCATCCCTAATTTCACAAACCACCGACTTTGACAAACTATTGGCATATAAAAGATCCACCCCTCCTTGTAAGGCAATGCATCCCTGTTAATAGTGCTTTTGGTAGGAACACATATGAACTTTTACTATAAACCGAGGTGCTTCCTGGGTATTCATCTAGCAGGTCTTATCCAACTATTTTGTCGCCGATGAAGGTAGAAGAAGCAAAGTCTGTGTGTTTGGTTGCCGGGATTGGTTGTGTGCATGAATATGGGGTTTGGATGAAGAAGATAAAGTTGTGTTAAATATATCCTTAGACTTTAAATAAAGGTGAATATTCCATGGCAACAAAAGAGAAGTTGCTCTTCCTTCTCAAATTTGCAGAGGAGACAACCCAAACCCTAAATCATAAGATTACTAAATAAACCATGAATTATTACAACAACAAAAATAACTCATTTTTCAAATAAAAAGTTCAAAACAAAAAGAATTGGTTCCCATAAATAAATTACGAAGTCCCACGCGCTCAATAGCAAAAGGAAGAAAAGAAAGGAGACAATAATGTAAACTATTCTATCAGGCTTAGTACACCGTACATCACTACGCAAGCATTCAGTGAGGGATACCACACGTTCATCTTAACATTTGTAGTCATGTGTCATACAATGCGCATCTTTATTGTCCATTCATGTAACAAATAGAGCCAACATGTACATGACAAATAGTCAACAGAGTCTAACTCAGTGGAAAAGGGCTTAGATTTATAAACCAGTTGTTTCAGGTTCGAACCTGCATAGCATCTTGACCCGTTTCGTTAATCATTTCCTCAAAGCCATAAGAAAATATTTTATAGGATTATACAATGATCCACAGAATACATAGTAAGATAAGAATTATTCATTTTCCTCATAAAAATAGTTCAACAGATTTATTGTGTAAAAAATATATATATTACGGACTACTGAAGACCGATAAAATAGTGCCATCAAACTATATATGCATCAAGCATGGGTTAGCATACAAAATTAGCGAGTTTTTACAACAAATGTGAGACAGTGCTAAAAAATATATATATTACGGACTACTGAAGACCGATAAAAGAAACTATTTAGTGCCATCAAACTATATATGCATCAAGCATGGGTTAGCATACAAAATTAGCGAGTTTTTACAACAAATGTGAGACAGTGCGAGGGTCAGAACAGGTAACAAGCGTACAAGTTGTGTATGCTGATTGTTATTTACTTAAGGGAGAGGTCAGCCTATTTTCATCTGAATCATGTTTTGATGAAGCATCTCCACCCATCAATTCCTGGAATCCTTCGACCTTCACTGGTGGAGCCCTAAGAACACCAGCGTTCCTGCACACATGAGAAAGTTCCAGAAATTCAGTGAAGCATTACTGAAACAGATGATCTGTAATTTTATTATTCTTCCTTCAGATTTTTCCTTACTGTGCTTGCATTTGAGGAATTTGTAAAGAAGCCATCTGTCTAAATTGATTGCCTGACTGAGGATGGACATTTGGCATTGTAAGATTCGACATTGCAGGGGTATGCTGCTGCCTGAACTGCATTGGGGGATTTTTGAAACTGTACAAGGCATTACCATCCATGGGTAACTCTGATGGGGCTTCAATCTTGACCTGTACCATTGGCCTGTCCTTATCCATATCCATACCAGCACGAGGAGTCGATGGTTGTCGTCTTCGCATTCTTTCTAACTGCTGCTGTTGCTGAAAAGGCACATTTTTGGAAAGCGCAACTTGTTGCATCTGCGGAAGCATTTGTCTAGACATCTGTAGGTTCACCAAACAATGTAAGAAAATAACCATTATTAATAATGTCATACTATGCAAACATCCCTTTTGGAAAGTACAAAACCCCTACAACTTCATCAACTTCAGAAGCTATTTCACAAACTGGAGAAAAGATATGTAACTCCCACAAGTTACCCATTAACTATCCATAAATCAATTATTACAAGAATCCAGATCAAAATGTAACCAATTATAAAGGAAACAATTCAAGTTATCCATACTTGCTGTAGTCGAATGGGATTCTGGTGCTGTGACTGCAATTGTGACTGGATTCCATGAATTTGCTGCTGAGTTTGTTGGAAATTCCTGGAGCCATCTTTGACTTGCTCCATTAGAGGGCCAAAATTACTTGTGAGGAAAAAAAAGACACGTAAGTAATTGATACACTAGAAACTTGCATTATTAGATCTTATTAATTTAAAAAGAATACACTTGCACAAACACAATACAATGTTCATAATGGAAGTGAGGAGTTTAAAATTGGAAGTCAAAACCTAATGTCCTTTATTTCCCTCGGTCAGCATTACGGACAAGCCCATTCAAGTTATGCATAATGTGGCCTTTCACTCAAGTGCTCAAAAGATATAAGGACCTTTAAGCTTCACAGGAAGTCTTCAATCATGACACTATTTAGGTTTGTCAGTTTAGTATCCTGGAGATTAGTTCGACTTAAATCATATTTATTGACTGCTAAGGTGAGTGTCAGCATCAAAATCTCAAAGATAATACTCTTAAAGTGGAAATGAATACACCCTCTCTGGGAAACCATGCCCTGATGAGAACAATTCGACATACAATACAGCTATTACATATCAGCTAGCAACAGTTCATTTAATGATTAATTCAGAGGTTACAATGTAAAACTATATTCATGAAAATTGCAATAACAACTTGTTGGTCTCTACCCAATATCATGAGTGCATGATGTACGGTAAAAACATAATCCGTGCAAATAATGTTGATCAATCATTTTCCTCTTCTTTTTCTTCTGACTTGGAAAAATTCATACCAGGTTAAGTAATAGCTTATAATTAAATTACGAGGTGCAAGTCCAACAATGCAACAATAATTTATAAGGAAACTAAAATCAGATAAGATCAATTTCAAAAACAGAAATGAAAAAACAACCTTAGATCCAAAAACTCACCTATAGCCTATTGTTTGAAGGAACATCTTCAGTAGTTCAATGGCCGAACACTGCTTTCTGTAACTATCAGTGAGAACTTTCAAGCTGCCACCCAATTTACTGATATGACAGCTTAGCATCTGAGAGAAAACATCAATTGGAACTTCTGTAGCACTTTCAAACCCAATACTTGTCAACATCCTGGCTATTACCGTTTGAGATAACTGTGTCGCTTGTTCCTTACTAAGACATTTTTTGTTCCCTCCAGAGCCATTTTTTCCACGATGTAAGATTCCTCCTTGTTCCATGCTAAGGTATTCAGGCCTGATACCAAGCCTCTCAAGCATAACAGGACTCCTAGTCATAATCTGAGGCAACATATCAAGAACTCCATAACATTCCACTTTCTGGTCGTCCTCCTCTCTATTCAAGGGTGGAAGTGCACTATCGGGAACACAGTTGAAGGTAAACATTGTTTCTGGGAAAAAATATATTTCGCTATCAACTGAGTTACTACCATCTAAAACAGAATTTGGATTCATGTGTGATACATTTTCTAATATGGGGTTTCCATATCCCATATACTGATCTTCCTTGAAAGCTAGACGTTTTTTCTTATGCCTCTCAAGAAGCTTAAGATAAGCAGACATCTCCTCTGGGGTACGTTTCTCTGATTCTCGATCAGCCGATGACAACCTATACGGTTTGCTAATTCTATATCTCTCCATAAACTGATTGTACCATGTTTCCGACAGCTCGTCATTTTTAAATCTTGATGGTTTATTATCAATTTCAGATTCTCCATATCTTGATCCAACACCAGAAGCTGCTTTTGATTGAATCTGCGGACACAGACATAAACTAATAATCATATAACAACCCTCCACAGTTTCTATGCTTAAATTTTGTTGCTCGAGTTTCCGGCCACACTTTTCCATGAAAGGTTTATGAATTCAGTAGTTCAGTTCAATTTATAAATGAAATTCACTAGGTTGGAATAGAATATTAGATTCAAGAATTCAATATATGTGGAGGTCACCACTTAAAAGGTTTAGCCAACGGAAATGGGGCAATTTTCCATATGTAGAAAAGCTCACCAGTTATGCACCCAAGAGAATTCCAGGAGATGAAATCTCAGGACTTGTTTGTTTATAACCCAATTTTATTGAATTCTCAGTAACCAATTATAATAAACCAAAAAAACAAAAAACAAAATGCATAACTCAAAAAACTCATTCATATCACAACTCAAATGCATAATGAAATCCATGAAAACTGGAAAATCATACCTTGGACGACATCGAAGGGTCACGCTGTTGAACTTGAACCCCGTCTTGAGACGAATTCTCTAGAGTGAAGTAGACGTCGTCCGGGTGCAACTGCAAATCTGAAACGACGAAAAAATTGCAGCGATCAGAAACCATGAAACTAAGCAGAAAGGAAAGCAATTAAGAGACTGAGACACACTCACAGTCGGAATTGAGCTTGGAAACAGCGAGCGAAGAGGAAGAGGAAGAGGAAGAGGAAGAAGAAGAGGAATTGGAATGGGGGCGGAGGAAGAGGGAGACGCAGGCCTTGTCGAAGAGAAGAGCTCGAACGCGGAGTTGGAGATGGAGGTGAGCCCTAGATTTGGAGTCCATGAAAGCTTCCCAGGTTGAAGGTGAGTTGAGTAAGGGAGCGAAGTTGGCGTAGGTGGATTCGCCGAGCCACTTGCGCCAGACGTTGCAGGACTCGAGTTTACGGGCGAGCTCGTAGCCACGACCGTCGTCCCCAAGCAGAGCCATTTTGGGAAAGGAGGAAGTAGGGACGACTTGGATGTTTGATTTTTGTCTGGGAATTCAATTTCTGGGTTTTCGGATTTTGGGGGTCAAGTTTTTGGGAAGAATTTTAAATAAATTTTTTAATAGTTCAACCAAAAAGAGGTGAATTACATTATGCAACCCTATTATTTGAGAGTTGGCATCAATCCGGCTGAAACGATTAAATTGTCTAATTTAAGCTGAACCGATTAAATTGTCTAATTTAAATTGTAATTACTAGTTTGATTTGGTAGTCCTCTAATAAGATAATAACTGGACCATCTACTTATTATATATTTATTTATTTATATTTTATTTTACACGTATAGTTCTCTAATTAAATAATAACTAGATATGAATGTTGAATTTGAAGTTAGATGGACCTTTGTAATTATTTATATTTAAATTATAGCTATATTAGTTATTGAAATTTGAAGTTTTATGGCATGTTGAGTTTTATTAGTATGGTTTCATATGCTATAAAATGAAAAGAAAAAGAAAAAATGAATGTGAAGTTGTGATTTTTTTACTTGCAATTGGGCTAATAATGTTGCAAAAATGCAAAAGTAAAGATCATTGGGCTTAGGCCCAAACTGGCCAAACCAAATTAAATCAAACCGTTTTAAAATGGTTTGGTTTGGTTTCCTCCTTGATTTTTGTCAAAATCAAACCAAATCAAATCATTATATTGTAATTGGTTCGATCGTGATTTTGAGGTAAACCGATCCAATCCTGACCGTGCCCACTCCTAGTTGTAGGGGTGCAACCCGCCCTCATATGTAGGTGCTAGTTAGTACAAGCCATCTCCTTGTCTATTTATACCCGACTTCATGGAATAAGGAAGAAACTATATAGTTTGGACTTTTGCTTCTAATAGTGTAATTTTATTTGGCTTAATTGTAGCAATAATTCCAAAAAATTTGCCCCATTGGCATTTTTGTCCTTGAATTCAGAAAATGTATGCTCTAGTCCCTCAACTCCACTTATGTTATGCTAGTCTTACGTTAGATATTATGTCAAATTTGGGGCCAAAATAGTCATTACATGTCCAACACCATCATTATCACTAACTCCACCACTCCCACCACCATTTTATACCCAAACGAGTCTACAATAATCACAACCCCTACGACCTCCGTCATTCTTCCTTCTCTTACCTCATTCAGCAGCAACTCCACCACCACCCATCCCCCAAATGACCTCCAACAACCACAATCCTTAAAATTCCCACACGACCCACTCACTCAAGACCTTTCAATTCATCCATGACTTCTCACCCATATACCCCTCTAACCACCATAAAAATTGAAAAACATAATAAAATCTAGGGATGGCAAAAATCCATTTTGGGGCCAAACGGGTATCGGGTATGGAGATTCCCGAACACGACCCGAAAATATATATGTTTATATTTAAATAAATAAATATATAATTACAATATTTATGTTTAACCCTAAGTTAACCTCCCTATCCTAATTCTTTCTAATCTTCTTTGGAATTTCATATTGATGTGATTTTGATTAGTCGAGTTGAACTTTGTAGTTAATTTGGATGTGTTGAATGATAATTTAATATGAAACTTAATGTTAAAATGTATAATAAATATTTGTTATGCAAAAAAAAAAATGGGGATTCGGGGCGGGTATGGGGGATAGTCTTCCGACTGGAACGGGGATGGGGATTCCCTAAAACCTATTAAATGGGGATGGGTTGGGGGATGGGAACGGGGACGGGGATGGTATTGTCATACCCGGCCCCTACCCGACCCGTTGCCATCCCTAATAAAATCTGTTGGCACTAAAATTGAACAGATAGAGATGAGTGCAACTTACAAGAGATGTAGATGATCTAGCATATCGATTGAGTGATAGATGGAGATTCTTCTTGTCTTCAGACGATGATCCTGAATAGAAGATAAGCGAAACTCGTGAGGTCTATGGAACCGGTATGGAACCAACCTAAGACCCTCCGATGCTCAAGTAAGATTGTTTCTAAGATCTCTTGCTGTTGACCATATGAAAGTATAAAAGTCAAGCTGAAAAGTCTTACCCCTGTATTGTAGTGAATGGGCCTATTTATAGAGGGGATTTTGTATGCTCTTGGTACTCATTTTCGATGTGGGACTCGTGGGAGAGCCCTATGAGGTTGACACGAGTCCTTAGATATGTCGGGCGGGTGCTTCGAGGTTGATTATGCAGAATTGGTAAGGGATACCGATTGTAGGCTGTGTTGGGCCTGTAGCGATCTTTTGCTGCTTTGAGACAATATCATCGGTAGCCGATGCTGATTGTTCGGAGCCTTGGGCACTTGGGGAGTTTCTATGATCCACATGTTAATGGATGAGTGGAGGATCAGATATGGTACAAACAGTAGTCCCCCAAGTTACCGATTGAGAAGCGACTTCTCGGTTGGGGACTTGAATCTATCTTCGGCATTCTGATCCGGACTCGATGGTCTCATTGTTGCCGATGGTGGCATGTAGTCCCCCAAGTGCCCAAGCGAGTGAGCTTGAAAAGGAGACGGTATGATGTACCGAATGGTCCGAGAGGTGTGGAGTGGCCGATAGCTGATGGCCGAAGGCTGATGGCTGAAGTCTGACGGCGCCGTAAGGGAGAAGTGTCTACTGGAAGGTGTCGTTCGACATGGCTTTGAGGAAAGGGCGCTGGAGTAGTGTCTCCTGAAAGATGCCGTTCGGCATGGCTGATAGCTGATGGCCGAAGGCCGATAGCTGATGGCCGATGTCGAAGGCTGATGGCGCCGAAGGCCGAAGGCTGATGGCCGATGCCGATGGCCGATTCCGATGGTCGATGCCGATAGCCGATGCCGATAGCCGAAGGCCGAAGGATGATGGCGCCATAAGGGAGAAGTGTCTCCTCGAAGGTGCCGTTCGGCATGGCTTTGAGAAAAGGCCGAAGGCTGGTGGCCGAAGGCAGATAGCCGATGGCCGAAGGCAGATGCCTAATCATTGGAGGGATGTGAAGACATCGCACGCGCCGAATGAT